AAAAGTCCAAAGGCTTGGTCATCATATCACTTGCCCACTTTTTTCGTCTGACTATGTTGGCAGGTCTTAATAAGGACTTCCGTTTAGCTGCTCTGCAACGATAACTCAATCTGTGGAGAATCCATTTCGATGCTTCTCTTGACAGCCCTTTTTGTCCTCTCCAATGGACCAGGACAACCCAGATGCTGCTCAGTTGTTTTCTTACCGTGTTTCCTGAACTGCATGATGATTCTGTTGACTGTCGAAAGTGGGATTCCCAAATTCTGTGAAATTTGCCACTGACTTATTCCACCTTCTGCTTGACCAACTATCCTTCCTCTAACAAAATTTGACAATTCGAGAGAACCTTGAGTTCTAGGCATGTTTTAGCACAAGACAATTAGTGTGCAGACCATTTTTATTTATATAGTGCTCTGTGAACACAAATTAGTTAGCATAAATCAGTTAAATGATGAAAAATTAGGTATCTATTTACTTGTGACCACTCAGTGTACATTAATATATTTATATATAATAAGAGATTCCATCACACTAATATCTCTTTATATGATGGTGCACTACTGCTTGCTATCTCTATACATTAATTGTCATTTTCTTTTTAACATATATTAAAGTCTCTCTATGTTATTGTAAACTGCAGTACACTAATGCTCATATAACATAGTGAATATTCTCTTGAACAAACATCTCTGTATTTAATGCTGCTGTGGTATATAAGAATACCATCCATTTTTTACCTCTTGATATTAATATAGTATTATTGGCATGTAAAGTTTTCACATAACGCATGGTTAAGAAAGTCATTAAGTTGATTTCATTCTAGCTGCATTTGTTCCTTTGTCAATCTCTAGAGATCACACCTGTTCTGCCCAATGGAAGATATGGTTGTAATGAAGCACATTGTGCAAGAATATACACAACAGTGTCTTCCACTGGTTCCTCTCAAGGTTACAACCTCCATTATATTTCAAAGAGAATGAACAATCATGTGGTTAGCACTAGTCGCTCTGGGTAAATCTTATGTTACTTGTTAGGAAAAGAATATTGGATTTAAACAGTCTGACATACAATCTTGAAGTCAGTTTGGAGAGGGAGAAATTCAGCTCTGTAAAAGCAACAGTCAAACATCCGTGCAAGCACACACACTGTGTTTTTGATACTAATAAATATTATTCACAGTGTTTACACAGTCCAGTCTCTCTGTTTCATCCTCATGAACTCTGTTTGTCAGAGGACTCAGAATAAGTTCATAATAAGAATCATTGCTCTAAAGCAAATCAGTTTTACCTAAGAATACCACACTGTCTTACTGTAATGCCCTTACTGATTATGGAACATTGCTCTACACTAATATGTCAAATTCATTTATGGAATTTTTCTTATGCTAATGACATTAAACATAAATATTGTTTGTTGTGAGTGCTGAACTATTTATGGTAAGATGTTTTTTTTTGTTTCTGCCATTTACATTATCCTGTCACTACGATGATAAAAAAATGCAACTTATTTTTAAAATATGCATGTGTGAGAATTATTTTTGCTACATAATAAATCATTAAAATGTTTAATTACAAGCTATATATATGTTGGTTGTTTATAAATTTGTTCAAATTAAATATACAGTAGTAACTAGAAAATATCTAACCTGTAGGACTGTAAACAATAATATTAATAACATGTAGATATAACTGTTCAACTGTCTAACTTTCTGAAAAACATGACTTTTGAAGTTATCATTTTCACTGTTATAGTTATAGGCCTACTTGTTGCTTTCCTTTGCCCTTTTCATTTTATTAGAAATTACTTACTTTATTACTATTCTGAAAAATTTATAACACTATTGTATTAAATATTTTAAAAATTGATTTATTGTATATATTGTCAATAATACCTTTCATCTTGAGTCTGTATCAAAGCAGTAGCTAGGATAAGTGTGAAAGAGGCTATTGTGCTAACTCCCAAGACATATAATTCATTAATAAACAGCAGGCTAGTGTAATGTTACTGATAATTGCCCTTTATTGGTAGCCATTGTATTCAGCACATGGTACGTAACTAAAACTTTTGCCAAAACTATCTTAATCAGATTAAAAAGACTGTTTACAAGCATAAATATAATTTTCTAGCTTGACATAATCTTCTAAACTAATGTATCTAAACATCATGGAGTTCTTCATACATGACTTAGTAAGCTTGATTTGGAAAACACTAATTTTTTTTTTGTTCTGCTCAAAGATTGTTGCAATTTTTATAATATACATAAATACAAGTTTTTATTAATTCTAACATGAATTTACCATGATAAATATAAGATGTTTAATACCTAAAAAGTACAAATGTTTCTTCAATTCATCTAATGGAGTCAACCTCAGCTTTACAGATATCATCAGATAAGTTTTTATGAAGAGGGACTGTTGGATACACAAGACTGTTTAGTGTAAGTGATATTATTAGTTATTGTTTTAAAAGTGTTAGTTGTGACAAATTTCATTATGTAACTCTGTACGAGTCATATGTTGTGTGTGCAGTTAGACTGTTGTACTAGGCTTTAGTAATATTGCTGGTGTCACACTACATGAATCTTTGGTATTTTTCTCATTACCTTAAGTATTGTTCCATTATAGCATTGCATAGTTTACACAAAGTTCAAGACCTCAGTGAACAAGGTATATATATATAGGTGACCACATGAGCTCAAGTTAAGTGAATTTCAGTCAGCAAAAAGGAGACAATTATTTAAATTTCAAGATACAACTGTGCTAACCCAAGGGGTAACATAAGTGAATCTATCACAGATTATGCAGTAAGAAAAAAAGTAGAGAAAAAAATTTGTCTTGTCAATTGGATTCTAAAGTAATTGAATCAGCCTGTGTGGACTTTTGACAAGAAAAGAAAATTATTCAGATATCCTATAGTGAAAAGAATTTTTGTACATACATTTGACTTGTTTTAAATATATTATTTTAAAACAGGTGGATTGTGTGCCGTCTGTTTGTTGTTCAAATTTATCACCAACAAGTCACATACACCTACTGTAGAAGTATCCCATCCCACCGATATGCATAAAATCCTGACAAGAACTGAATAAAAATTTTATGTTGTTATTGTTTTACAAGCATTTGGGCAGATACTGTCTATAGACAATCTCTCTCTAACTTTTTACTATGATATGAAGAACAAGGACTATACATTTAAGTCATTGTAAAACAATAACCAAACCTGGTCACTTTCAATTGTAATCCACTGGAGCTTGTCTTTGTTTAATAGATATTCAAAAGAAAACTCAAGATGTGGGCAGTTATTCTCCTGTTGCTTGTCAGCATTCTGAAATTAAAGGTCAAATATTACTAACAGATAAACATAATACCGGGATGCTAAGCTATTCCTAGTTAATTTTCCAATGACACTCTCATGAAAATGTTTTTCTTTTTGATCACGAGCTGTTACAATTTTTTATAATACACATAAAGTAATGTTAATTCATCAAAATGAATGTAAGGTGTTTAATATCCAGAAAAGATAACTGCATAGGTGACATGTTCATTGGAATCAATCTCAATTTTACCTTTAACAGGAATCACATGATTAGCAACATCATTAAATAAATTTGTAATAAGATCTAAAAGTTAGTATTTTCCAACACTGAAAATATATTTCTGATAGGTATTTACTTCTTATCAGATAATAGCTTCTCTTTTCAGTGCTGTCCTCTATAGGTGAAAATTTTTTCACTCACCACTAGCCTTGAAACTCCCACCAATGCAACATTCAATGTGGTTCTACTGTGTCATTGGATGCAAATAAGCATGTGGCAAATCTCCACCAGTCAGAATGTAACACTTTTCTGATGTAAGTTACTTCCTCTATATTATTCAGCCTAGCCTTCACTTTTACATTAGGCACAAAAGAAGCACTGGAAGTGGGGAAGAAGGTTGGGAAGTGTGAGAGGAAGTAAGTATCTATCAGAAATAGATTTTCAGTTTATTTTACCTCTCCTCACATAACAGCTAGAATCCCACACTGAAAAGGTGGAGGTACTAGTGCTAAAGTTCCCAATATGAGCACCCTTTAGAAACGTCCAAAAAATGTAACCTCTCTTGAGAGAGGAACACACCTGTGGGAAACTGCACCACATGTGTACCAGGTATACTTGTCACCTAATGAAGTAATAAGTGTTGCCTAAATGGGTGGAAATTAGTTGAAGCACATTGTACTTTTATTTAAAGAAGGATGACATTTTGAGCTAGTGCCCTTCATCAGATCATACTGTTAACAATAAAGGTGTACACACAGAATTCAAAGAAGTTGTGTGCACAGTTATAAAACCAGCAGACAAGGAAGAGCCATAGTAGTTTGGCACAAGGATTTATAAATAACTGAAGCTTTGACACAACTTAACAACAGTACTTTCTACACTGCTCTTCAAGACAACCCAATTTCTGACTTCAACAACCTAGTAACATCTACAATTAAAGGTATGATCGATGCTGACGAATTACCCACTACCGCCAAGAATCTCATTGTAAAGGAACCTAGAACTCCACAAAGATGGACATCAGGGCCGACCCATTGTATCTGCATGCAGTTGCCCTACAAAGCAAATTTCTAGTTACCTTGATGAAGTTTCATCGCCATTTGTCAAGAATTTACAGACACAAATAAAGGACACCACCCATGCCATTACTTTAATCAAGAACACACATTTAACTGGAAAGAAACACTACCTCTTCACCATGGATATAAAATCATTGTACACATCTATCCCACACAATGAGGGTTTTTTAATTGCACTAAAACATTTATTAGACCAAAGATCCATACTGAACCCTCCAACAAACAGACTTCTATGTTTAGCCGAACTTGTACTTACACTTAGCGCCTTTACTTTCAATGGTAACTACTACAAACATATCCGCGGGGTCGCTATGGGGACTAAAATGGGCCCCACCTTTGCCTTATATTTAATCAATACAATGGATAGGTACCCATGATGTATTATCGCTACATTGATGACATACTAGAGATTGCATCCATGCCTAAATCTGATGTTGAACTTTTTCTATACTTTGTTTCCTTTTTCCACCCCTCTTTAGAAATTACTTGGGAAATATCTGACACAACACTCCCCCCCTCTTGACATTAACATATACATATAAGACGACCATCTGATCACTAGTATAGATTAAAAACAAACACATTCACACATGTACCTACATTTCAAATCATTCCACCTGTACAATAACAAAAAGTCAATACCCTACTCACAATTTCTAAGACTACTCAAACTGTGTAGTGATGATAATGATAAGTGATGATAAGTCTAAATCCAAAGACCTAAAGAATTTTTTTTTCTAAAAGTCACTACCCTGATTCTCTCATCCACGATGCAGCCACCAAAGCTAACTCACATACTTAGGAGCAAACACTCAACCCTACAAAAAAAACAACACACTGATCTTATTCCACTTGTTCTAACATACCACCAGACAAACAAGAAGATCAAAGATATTATATTAAACAATTGTACAATAGTTACTGAAGACCCTATCACTAAATCTATTTTCAAGGACCCACCCATTATTTCTTACAGACATTACAAAAACCTAAAAGAAATCCTGGTGCACAGTAACCTTAGACAAAAACAAAATGATACTCCAGGCACTCACACATGTAAACGAAAAAGGTGTGTCACCTGCTCACATATAAACAGTGCTAAACATATACGAGGAAAGAAAACAAGTTATGACATAAGATATTACTTTACATGTACCGCTGAATGTATCATTTACTGTATAATTTGCAAAAGATGCAATAATTTATACATTGGACAAACGGGCCACCAACTCAGTGATCGAGCATGAGAACATCTAAACCATATTAAACTGCAGAACCAAGATACACCTACATGGAAACATTTCACCATCAACAACCATACAGTTGAGGACTTTTCGATCCTTGAACTTATTAGTGCTCCAACAGTAATTCACAAAAGAGAACGACAGGAAAGGAGATTAATCTACAATCTGGGAACCCTACAACCATCTGGTTTAAATGAAAGCTTTTCTTTCCTGTAGATTTCTATTTTCCATTTTTTTTTTAAATTTTAATTGCTATCTACTTATATTTTCATGACTTATAATTTTTTATGTAATAGATGTAATTTCGCTAAGAATTTTCACATGGTACACATTCCAAATACACACACAAGTGCTTTTGTTGTAAACTGTACAATTTAAAAAACTAGCTCGAAACATCATTCATTTTAAATAAAAGTATATAAAAAACCGGTGATTGTTCAACCTATAATTTTATTTTTACACATGTTGGTTGGTCCAGCTTAACACCCAGAATTCTAAATCCAGGAGATAACAGGATGGAGGGTTTCCAATGAAATATAGTAATGGTAGGAAAAACTAAATGGATGTGCCCCACAGTGTAGAATGGTTAGTGCACATCAGACCATACTTGGTGGGTCAACTCCAGTTCAAAACAGGTGGCATTGAGTATTTATCTATCAGTCCACAGTAGGAGGAGGGTCCCTACTGTCTTCACCTCAAGCCTATGAGATGGAAGAATGTTCCATCCAGTCTGTCTAAACAGGGCACATATGCACAAATACTCATTTAATACCAGCCACTTGGAACCCAGCACCTGAGTGACAGTAAGCAGGAAAGTGCCCGTGTGGTGATTCACTGAAATCCAAAACGAAACAGACTTCTGGTTCCTGGTCCAGCTCCATGTGCTACCAAAACTTACAAGTCGCAACCTGCAGGTGGTATGCTGGGGGTACTCCAGCCAACCAAAGTACCTGTTAGCCAGTCCAGCTCCTTAGAATACCAAACTCCCAATCCTCAGCTTGATGGAGGAGGTATGCCGGGGGTACCTTAACCAATTTGTACATTGAGTCCTTGGAAGGACAAAAGCTCCTGACCAACATGCATGAAGACTTATGTTGGCTGCTCCAGCTCTAATCCAAAACCTACCATCTGGGAAGTGACATTCAGGTGATGATAGGATGAGTGGTCCCAACTGGGGAAGGTGAACTGCATTTTGGTGCATCTACTCCAGTTTATAAGTTACTGAGAAGATCTATATCATCTATACTAGCAAAACACCATTGCCCTACTCTCTACTGAATGGAATTGAGCACATTCAGGAGGTAGCCTCCATGGGTCACCACTCCAGTGGCTAGGAACTGGTAAGTGGTAAGGACTCCCATATGCCACTTGCAAAAGTAGGGGAAGAAAATTGCCATGGAGAGTCTGGAGGAATGTTAAAACAGAAACTGTGCGTTGGGTGACCATGGTAACACTATTTTGAAAAGCAGGCCATTTCTGATATATTAAATCGAAGGAATGGCATAGATGGGCAGCAAGCCCCTCCTGCTTTACTCATGATAGTCCACAAGTTAGTACTGTCTGGGATGGGCATAATTATGATGCAATATACTGCAAGTTGAATCTAGTAGTGGTCTTGTGGAACAGCCCATCTTAACAGTGTGCATTATAGGCCTGGAGAGAGGAGTATATATTAGCAAGTCCAGCCTATGGTTTTCTCAGGTTGGGCTTCCCAGTCAACTGCTCATCTGGTCCAGCTCCTTGCTACACTAGCCTCCAGGTCATGACTCCTCAGAAGTAGTGTGCCGGCAGTATCTCAGATGGTGTTTATATACAGTTCTATGCAAAAATGTTAGGACAAGTGAATATTTTGTCATTCTTTCCATTTTATGGGGCTAATTCTTCCATTCCATTTCAGAATGTAAATTTCAACATTATGGTAATGCTTCCCCGATCCATGTTGACAGCTGTATGAATAGGGTGAGAATACTTATTTTTTAGAATTCCATATACTTATACCAAGGGCATGTCATAAGGGTTCTGCTTGATTGAACATACTGATCAAATTTAGTGTCTCAAATAACTGTCATGGTACCCCCTGTAGTGTTTTAACTATATAGAAATAAGCTAGCAAGGAGCTAGCATATGGTACCGGTATATGCTAGAAGAAATCAATTTAGCACTCCACAAATAAACCTTAATAAAAAGTGTGTTTAATATTATATATTAAGTTTTATTGTCATTCTACAGCCCAAAAAGTGTAAAGAATTGTCAGTAGAGCAGAGAGTTCGCATAAAAGCTTTATGTGATGCTGGTTGGACTATCCAACAAATTGCTGCAGACTTGAAATTCTTCCCAAACACTGTAAAGTATAGCCTTGAGCATGAGACTGAGACAGGTAAATTTGAAAATAGAAAAGGAACAGGCAGAACACCTAAACTCAATGATACTGATGTTAAGTATCTTTCATTTATGCAGCCTTTTGGACAGAAGGAAGACTGCCACTGATCTCAACCATGTGATGAATGACCATGTACCAAGAATGGAATATTTGTTCGTGTAGCAGTGAAAAAAGATTTACTTCTATCTCCAAATATTGTCAAGAGATTGAAATTTGCTAAAAAGTACAAAATCTGGACTGTTGATGATTGGAAAAGGGTGTTATGGATGGTTGAGTCTAAGTTCGAAATATTTGGTTTAAAGCATAGGTTGTACATTTGGTGGAAGAAAGGTGAAAGAAACTTACCTCAATGCATAGCACCTACCATGAAGCATGGGGGAGGTAGTGTGATGGTTTGGGGTGTTTTTCTTCTGAGGCAATGGGAGGTATTTGCAAAATAGATGGAATAATGGACCAGAGCAAGTACCATCAGATACTGATCTGTCATGGTATACCCAGTGGTTTGCATATTATTGGTAAAGGATTCTACAACCAAGAAACTAATGCCCCCAAACACTCATCCAACTTATGCAGAAATTACTTAGTTAAGAAAGAAGCTGCTGGAGTTATTCAAATGATGCAATGGCCCCCACAGAGCTCCAATCTCAACCCAATTGAGCAGATCTAGGATTTGACAGATCAAAAACTTAACAAATCAAAAGTTACTTCCAAAGAAACTTTATGGGAGTGTATTATAGACATTTGAAGTAAAATTCCAAAGGCCACTTTGATTAAATATGTTGCAACAATGCCTGAAAGATTGTCTGCAATGATTAAAGCAAAAGGAGGACACATAAAATATTAACTGTTTGCTAAACCCAACCACTTCGACTGAATTTCTGTAGGAGAGGGAAAAAAAGTGTTCAAACTCCTGTCAAACTAAGGCCAAGACCTCCTCACCCAAAAGTGTAGAACCTGAAGCCTGAGAAACGACAGACAAAGTAGTAGTAGTTGGAGTAGTCAAGACAATGGTATGCCTGACACAAATGTCAGAATTCTTGAGGTAATTCTATGAAAAGTTAAGTTTACTTTCACTCAAAACCATACGAGAAACTACTGCTAGGAGAAAAAATATAAATCAAGTGCAAAGTTGAAAACACAAGTAAAATATTGTAATGTATGAACACTACTATGCCTAAAATGAGAAGCAAATGTTGGATTAAGTAGTATAGAGGTGGTAACTTGCATCAGGAGAGTGTGTCGTGCTCCGATTGGTGGAGGGCTGAATTAGAACCACGTTGAACATGGGTTAAGTAGGACTTTCAAGGCTAGTGGCAAGCAAAAACATTTCAGCATATAGATGGCACTACTGAATGAGTTATTTTTTACAAGTATTTTGGCAGGGAAGATTGAACTGGCATTAAATATGCAATGGATATTACTTTCTTATTTTCAAGTAGAGGACACTTTTGAATCTGTGATGAAAACGTAATAAAGGTTCGATAGACTTTAGTACAATACCAAAATACTGTCCTTTCCAAATATATATTGTCCAGTTTAAAATAAAACTGTCAGTAAATTTAGACTGTTATAAGCATATCTCATAAAGTTATAAATTTTATCTTCACTTACCGAAGTTAAAATTCTCCAACATCGAATCCTCGTGATTCGAAAGCTTCCTTCTTTCACTTGATTCTAAAAAATTAAATGTAGAAATATTTCAAAATTGAAGAATGCTGAGCACAAACTTTGTGAGGTATATATAGTCATATTAACTGTTGTCAGGAAGCACTTTAATCACAAACTTTATTAAGAGAACTAAGTATTACGAACATGAATAAAAAAAGATAGCCTATCATGTCACTTAGTCAAGGAGCTTGGACAAGACCTGAGCTGAAGCATTCATTGTGAAAAAGAGAGGAGGGTTAGTTCTAAGCTTATTCTTTTGGGTAAACTTTTACCTATGTAGCCTGGTGTGCAACAACAAGCTTTAAGCTATATAGCCTACTGCTTCTGTTAGTATCAAAAAGAATGATTAATAGCATACACATCCTAATATATTTAATAAAGTAAAGTACCTTATTATTGTGGTCTAATGCATTTATAAGCAAAGTAAACTATGGTCTAGTTTTTATCAATGTCAAAGATAATTGATAAGCCTTAAACCAGATGGAATAATGTACCTGTGTATAAACAGCAAGGAATAAAGATAAGCAAGAAACAACAGTCTACATTTCTGAATGTAGCTCCTGAAACCAGGTCGAAAGAGGAAATACAATATGTAGTGTTATCTTGGTATAAGTAGCTTTTGGATACTTTGCTAAATAACTGCCAAGTAAAATAGTACTTACCCATATCAGTATAAAAACAGTCACATATGAGTAATAAATGTATATACATTAAAACAGAAACTGGGTATTCAATAAATGAAACATTTCTTCAATGGCATGACATTTATTTGTTTTAACAGTGATTTTTATGCTTCCAAAGATATTATCTTCTTTAAAATTATAAGCATAAACTTTGTGTGGTATATACCACACCTATTAATGTTAGGTGTGATGATAAAGTTACATGTATGCCCTAATACATCTAATATATTGAGAAGTGTAGACAATACCTTGAATTATATGATCTAGTCATACAGTCAACAGACAATGAAAATACATTTTAATCACAGTATAAAAAAAGAAGGGTTAAGTATCATTGACAGTCGACAGCAAAAAAAAAAAAAGACCCAGGTAAGTATTTTATTTCTTGTTTTTCATGTTTATTATTATAAAAGTAACTAAAATATAAAAACAGAGATCTATTTAGCTTAGTTGAGATTAAATTAAGTAACATAAATAATAATATAATAAAAATGTTTCACAAGGCATGAATGAAAAAAGCTCGGAGTAACTTGTGGGGAATGTAATTTGATACCGTAAC